CTTGGCCACACACCAAGGCCCTCTATTCACTAGCAGCACGTATAACCATATCTACCCTGCCTATATGTGCAGTGTGCCTTTAAGAAGCACTGCGGAAAGCCAACACCGCCGCCGTCCTCCCTGATATCAGAACAACATTAATCAACTGCTGAAGGATTAAACATTACATGGAACTTGGAATGGCGCTTTTAAGTAATGACAACATCAGCTAGCTTGCAACAATGAGGTTATACTGACATGCGGCCATTTATCACATTTCCATTACAATCTCCCAACAGGCCACAAACGACATCAGGCCATATGTCTCTTCCTTCCCCTGACTGAGGACACCAATAAGCAGCGTGAGGCTAGTAATATGCAACACTGGCTGGTCAGTGTATTACAGTAAACAGTACATTCTGTTAATAGGCTCCTGGACATGAGGGGGAGAAAATGCTCCTGCATAATTCAAACCATAGGCTCCATAGGACGGCGAGCCAGCCCACAGGTTCTTAAGGTGCTCAGTGACAAAGTGAAACCTCTCAAGGTTTACAGGTCAGTTACTCAGGTGCATATTATATTAACCTTTTATTTACCAAGGGACAGCGGAGGAAGAAGTATTCTAATAATCTACTGAAGTAGTATAGAAGTATTAGCAGCTGAAACGATGCAACTGGGGACAAACATTGGCAATTATGTGCTATGATTGGTGGCATCGTTCTGCTCAGTGTAATATTTTGTGCGTATGTTTCTGTCCCCATAAAAATAAACAAAACAAATCCAATTAAGATATTTATAAAAAATAAAAAAGATGGTTTTCCACAACAGCAAATAGAAAATAGAGTTGGATGACCACAACAACCAATGTGCAGGACACATGACAAACACTAACACTTGCTTTCTCTAAATCTCACACACACGCGCACACACACACACACACTCTTGTTGAGACAGCAACACACTCTGTTCCACAAGAAGTTGTTGATATTTCAGCATAAATCAGATGATTCAAAGTGGAAGTTTTATCCCAGGTATTTTTATGTGACAAAGTCATACTATAGTATATCAACACTAAAACCTCTTCAACACACTGCTTCCTAGGTTGAGTGGGACATGGTGACACAGCAGACTGTGTTAGAGCAGACAGCCTGGGGCTCACATGGGGCTACGAGGAAAAACATGGTGTTTTGGCACCTGTTGATGTCCTGAAGCACACGAGGAAGCTGAAGGAGCTGGTGGCTCGAGAGAAGGAGACCCAAAGGAGCAAGGAGGAAAAAAAAAAGAGAGTAAATGGAAAAAATGGATATTGCAGCTGCTCGCCTTTAACGTGGAGCTGGACTGAAACGTTGAACATGACTCAACATTTTACATTTATCTTCTCTGGCATTGTGTCTATTCATGTTTCGAAACCCGACATTCAAGTGGAGCTATTCATCGGTTGTTATTGCAGCAGAGCAAAGCGAGTGATGACAAGGTCTGAACGGCAGAAAGCAATTAGAGAATTCTTCCTTTTGTCAGCACACACAAGGACAGACTGTATAGTGTCACACTTTATTTTCAGCACTACGGTACAGGACCCGAGCAATATCCAAGGTGTACAAATGCGTAGGGTAGGCTATGTAGCGCCATCCGACCTACACAATTAAAAACCTTGCACTTTAACCAACTTACTTATCTTTTCTTTTAAATGGCAATTCATATGATCTTCCACATAAAGACTGCAGATATCCGCGTTCATGCATTTGTATATCTGTGAGAACTATTTCATACTTTCACAGTATTTGATGCATCTTCAAAAATAAAAACATTTCTTTTGGGTTTGAAAGCAAGCCGGTGCAGAAAGTCTTGCAGAGTGTTAAGGCACACACACAAAGGCACAATACCTGCAAGCACGTCGCTCCATAAATGCACAACCACCGACTGCAGCTATAAGCTGAAAGCTCTGCTGCCCTACAAAAAAACAACAACAAGGAACATGCGTGCGGGAGCTGATAGCAACAGCCGTCATGATTGAACTCGTGAGCGAGAAAAAGACTGCATGAATATAAACATGAGACAGCCATGGGCAACGGAAAATAAAGAATTTCACTGAGCAATCTAAAGCAACGGGCAATTTCTAACATCCGCGAGCAACTGAGTTTACAAAGACTGAGGAAAAATGCAAGTGTGAGGCAGTGAAACACTATAGAACAAATGTCTGCACACACACACACTCACACTCACACACACACACACACACACACACACACACACGCTCAGACATGCACATATAAATGTGGTTTCAGGGTATTGCTAAAGACCTTAATGCTCATCATTTTTGTCCTTAAATAAACAATGGTTGGTGATGATGATATTAAATAGATCAGTGAAAGGAGGAATGGGGGGCTGGACGGAGGTACATGAACAAATACATCTGTCCACCGAGCATAGGATCAGGCAGCTAGTATGGCTATAAAGTTTGTTGTATGAACTTCAGCTTCAAATTAGGTTAAAGATAAAAGCAGCCAGGAGCCTCATTTATTTCATTTAGTGCTCTCATCATTTGATTAAAACTTGGCTGTTCATGCAACAATGTGTCTCCGAAGTGCATCTCATATTCTTTTAATCTGAAAATGTCAAACAAAGCCTTGAATGATCGTTTGCTCGGAGCTTTTACACATTTGTTATGTGTCCTCTGTTGTCATTTAATTTCAACTTTGTACGAAAGAATTGCTATATTTGCCAATTTGAAGGATTGCAAACTCATTATGTTGACTTAAAGATCTCTCCGTGCAACATTGCCGTCCTCACCAGCAGTGTGCCTCGCGACACCAACTGACCACTGCACTTTCATTAACACCTGACTCCTACAAAACTCCAAATACACAGAATTACACCTACATAGAGTCCAAGTGCACTTCCTTTCTAAAGGACTCACCCCCCCAATAGATCACAACATTTGTGCCGACACAGCTCCAACGTCCACTCCATCAACCAGAATCAGAAGGTGAAATGACTTCGCTGCTTGAAGTCATTCATCATCTTGTGACCTTGAGGCAGCTCAGCTCCTCCTTACAGCTTAGGAGGGAATTCATTTGTTATGTTGTGTTGAAAGTGAAATGCAAAAAGAAAATCTGATCTACTTCCAGACAGTTACACACTACTACACTACTACAGTACTACATACATTTCATTTTTAAATACTACAGTCAGTCGAGCATAGAAGTTCTAATGAATGCAGTTCAACTCTGGGCTCTGGGGGTACAAATACCAGCATCTCCTCGCTGCTTCCTCCTTTTTGATTCCGGCTGCAGCGTAAATCTCCAAACAGCATCTCAAACTGCACTTAGACGAATTCCCCAGAGAGAACCCCTGCGTCACTCTCCTACTTTATCCTGCCCTAAGTCCCATGCTCGCCTGCTTTTTCTCTGTCATCACAGCAAAAATAAATCAAAGCTACAATAATTCATGAGTGTTAGGAGTGTGTGTGCATGTGAGTGTGCATTGGGGAGTGAGGGTTTGACTTTTACACAGCAAGAGGAGGTTTGAGCAACTTCAACTCCATTTCACTTCTGTACGTGCAGAGACGGGAAACGAGAAATAAAGAATTTTGAGTTTTTGTCACATACAAAAGAAAGTTTAAAATTCACGTCACGGAAAATGAACCAATATAACTCAATATTAATTATGTTATTGCTCTCGACAGTAATCAAATAATGGTGAAAGGGGAAAGAGGTTTTTGCAGCGGTGTTGATATGACTTCTACGCATTAGCCGCAAAATAATAGCAGTGAGAAACCACATCCAGCAATCAGTTCGGATAGAAAAAATTCCAATCATCTAACTGGCTTGAAGGAGGATGAAAGTTAATAAGGTTTCTTGTCAACAAAGACTCGAGTGCTGCAGCCCAGCCTCTGGGCACCATGAATCACTCCACTGCATATAGTTTGGAGACATTCTTTATTATTTTTTTCAAAGATCTGGGCCACCAGCTGGGCCAGATTTATTATCAAAACCATCAAACAGGCCACTCATGGATGTCAGCTTGAGGACAGGATGCTCACAATTTCAGCCTCACTGGAGGTAAGGAAAGTAATTACTTGCTAAGAGTAATTGCTGTTTTATACACAGCAAATATGTGGTCCAATACAAGCTCTTCAAAGGGTAACTTCAGTATTTTACAACCAATGTTTTTTGTGTCCAAGTGACTAATGGGGACAACAATTTGTGGAATTGGTCCCGTATTGAATGGGAACACTGCAGACGGCAGCAGTTAAACGGGCTGCAATGTAATCGCTCTGGGCAACTCCTCGCCATCCACTGAGAGTGCTTGTTGTTGCCACTGGGCTGAACAGAGAATAAACTGTCTTTTCTGTTTATGTCATTGTTTTAAAAAAAGGACAGCACTGTCCATATTGCACTGCAGATGACCTCAAACTGTCAGAACATTTGCTAACATTATCTAAACTATGTGCTACATCACTAGATAATTTACACCAATGGCTCCCCCACCCCATGTCCACTCACACAACACACATACACCGTTTTCAGCTAAAAATGACACCATGAATATCTGTTATATCTGCTATATCTTAACAAACTAGCACCGATGTATTATGTATGACATACAGCATATGAACTAATGTAAATATTAACTTAAATAATATCGGCCCTATCACAATTACTCGGAATAGAAGAAGTCACCAGTTTCAGGCTAAGAGGCTGTGAAAATTTGCAAAATCATATTGAACTTTAAAAAAATGAATTTTAAATGTATGTCCTTGTTTTGTTCAAAAGTAGAGCTGTCATGTCACCAATCTTAGCTGCTGCATTATTATTTCCTATTTCTTCCATTTTGATATGTTTGCAAACATAATGTAAAACTGCTAACTTGTGGTTAATCTAAGTTTCTTCATTAAAAAATGAAAAATGGAAAAAGAAAAAATCTTGCAGCACCCTTGGATCCGTCTTGAGGCACCCGCGACATTCACTTTAAGAGCCGCTGCTTTACATAATGAAACACTTATTTTAAAAGACACTCACCGGCCAGCACTCCTGCCATGTAAAGCAGACTTATTCGTAAGATGCCATGGACCATCTCCAAAGGAACGCCAATCATCAGCTGCAGTAAAGCATTGAACCCGAGCTGCTCCAAACTGAGGAGAGAGCACAGAAAGACAACACAATTCAAATGAGAGTGCATCATCTGCAACAACCAGCCAGATTTTAACGGCACCAGTCCTGCGGACATCGACATGAGGCGAGCGGGGGTTTGTGAACGTACCCAACGTGCATGAACATGTAGCTGAAGAAGCGCCACACTTGTGCACGGTGGCCGGGATGGTAGACTAGGGGGCTCTTCATGAAGTCGGGCTGATAGGTCTGCAGTACCCACTTGTTTAGCATGATGCCATAGCACATGAACACGATGATCTGCAACAGACACAGAAATGACACCAAACTGTCAGTTCTTGCTGACATACTCGTTACACGCTCTCTCTGCAGAGAGGTGCAAAGCCCATCGTGCTGTATGAAAGACACATGACGTTTTCCTCTCTTTCTGTATTCCTCAGCTGACGCTTATTAGACTTGTGGAGACAATTACTGCTCGCAGAAAAAAAAATAAAAATGGCACATCTGGTTCAATTCCATTAATTTCTTTTCATAGAATAATGACTCATTGTCTCTGTGAATTAAAATGAATGTAAACCGTTATTATCACAACCTCATTGTCATTACAGACCATTCACTGCCATTTGGAGGCAATATAAGAGCACTTGGCTTTCTGTCCTGTGAATTATGATGATTTCAGGGGAAATTATGAGGCTTTGTGAAAAAGCTGTAGGTTATTTTTGCCGTTGAACCATTAACCATTTAACAGTGGTCTGTGAGGGCTTCTATATTAGGGAACATAATTGTTCACTGTGGTGGCCACGGTGCTTACTAACCTGGTTTCCAAGTCCCAAAATCCCCCAAAGAAACCTTGCATGCCGGCTGACAGAGGGTTTCAGCTTTGGAGGAATGGCATTAAAGGCACCAACTAAGCCCCTGACTCCCAAACGGGTTACCAGCTCATATCGAGCTCACAGTAAAAGCGTGTCATCAAAGGCAGAAAATCTTTTCAGTGGGTCTGAAGCGACTGAGCCAACAGAACAGTCTAAAAATAAGGGTCGTGGGTTAGTAGCACATACTCAAGCAAAATATTGCAGCCCATGTTTCAGGAACATTTGAATCAGTGGGCTATACATCGGTAGGATCGTCTATATTCAGTTCACTGTCTGACATGTCGATGGTGTCACCTCCTAGATCTCACCTGCACGATGGTGACAATGGCGATGAAGACAGGTGGGGGACACAGGCGGTTCTGATGGAAGTACCAGCGTCGGTCTGTCTCGCAGGGCAGGATCTCGTAAGCCACATAGCGAACAAAACGTTTGTACAGACCCAGTCCCGTCTCATCCAGCAGGATCTCCCTTTGCAGCGTGCGGCGGCCATTAGCAATGGCCCGTCGGAAACTGCTGGAGCGCTTACTGCTCATCTGAGGAAAAGGGGAAAAAACTCATTATTCTCAAGAGTTTTTAACTTTATTTATGACACTATGATTTCGCGCTATATGAGCAAAAATGTATTTAAAAGGAACATTTTTGGGGAAAATGTGCTTAATTGCTTTCACGCTGAGGATGAGAAGGTCAATACCACTTTCTTGTTTACCACCAGCAATCTTTTAAGTTATCGAAACATAAAGACTGGAAACGAGGGGGACGGCTAACCCGGCTCTCTCCAAAGGCAATAAACCAGTATCTCTAAAACACACTCACTAATACATAAACTTTTCTTTAACTTCTTGACGTCTTCACTGTGAGCCCTATATTCAACAGACAGATGTTTGTATCAATCTTCTCACCTGTCCTTCAGCAAGAGAGCAAATATGCATATTTGTACATCTTTAAAAAAAGATGAGAAACAGTTTTTTAAGCTGACAAAATAGTCCATTGTGACTTGAAGGAATCAGCAGAAAGCTCATTCCCTGTTCGTTTTGTTGATGACTTAACTCCAATAAACTTGTCTCAAGTGGTTTTATGAGCATCACTGTCAGCAGCTGGAGGACACCTTACCAGGATGAACAAATCTCATCATGCTGCTGAATTAACTCCATAACGCTCTTCACGCTAAGTGGATCACGCATCAGTAAATGAGGGGGAGCTACTTTTCATATAAACCGAGGGAAGCTCATCAATGTGACTAATCGTCCTCGATGGGGATCAAACATTTATTAAGTACGGATATCACAAGGGATAGCACGACGGTTTATGTAAGTTCTTCTTTTATAATCAAAGAGTCAAGGGAAAGAAATGACACTTCTTTCCTTTGAAGATGATTTCTGTTGTTCTGATATTGTTCAGAGGAGCTGATGTATAGTGAAGTTTCTCTTTCGGTATTCATGCTTAATGGTTGAATATTCTTTGCACTTCTACACTTCTAGCACATTGTTGCATTCCTTGTATGTACTTTTACAATCAATTCACGTGTGACTTCAAGGTCGATCATTTATTCAGAACACAAAGAAACTAAAATGGACCTCAAAACTGCTACATTATTTTCATGTGACACAGAGATAAAATATATAAGTAATGAGAGCATTATGCAGGTGTTTGGTAGAAATACTATCTATATGTCAGATGAGTGCAATAAAATGTATTAGAGAAAAGTCTTCAACTTTGTGGTTGAAGATATTACAAGAATGAATCCAGAAAGTAGGAGGTGTAAACTTTAATGCTTTAAAAGCGTGGGAACAGCGTACATTTTATTTAACTGATGTTGGACATGCAATGTCTTTTCCCCGTATATCTCAGCAGCAATTCAACTATTAATATATAAGCCATGTTACATGTATAAACAACTGGCGATCACTTTTTTTGCCACAAGAGAGATGACAGAACTGCAGCTCAATATTCATGGATGATAAGAAACTTAAATAATGTATAAGCGTTTTTGATTTAAACAGAATGCAAACGTGACTGATGGCAGAGATGATTGCAGTTCAGACATCATAACAAATGGGCTGTCGGGGTGATTTTGCCAAATCTGTGTCAAGAGGAACTATTTCATGAAAAGAGAAAGTGTGAGTGTGTGTGTGTGCATTCATGTTATCACAGACTCCAGGTTTGCTTAGTGAGCAGGAGCTCTGCAGCAGCCTTTAGTAGTTCTTTAATAGAGGCTTTGGATGAAAACTATCCTAATGCCACTAGTTTGACAGAGAACTGTCAGGACAGAGGGATCTTTTCCGCCAGAGTTACCACTGAAAATACAAGACCAGCTACCCACAGCAGGGATCTATAACTGATATCTCCATTTCCTTATAGAAAACCAGCGTGCATGCTTCCCAGGTAAGAGCTACTTCAAGGCTGACACTCAGTGCCAGATGCCTGAAGTCTCCTGTGTAGCTAAAACAATACAGCTCCTTTGAGGACAATTGGCTTAATATATAATTATCCTTCAATCACAATATGTGCAATAATGTGATGTGACACTTTATTAAATTTAGTTTCCTGGAAAAGCAGTGAAGGAGGAGAAATAGGGCACGTGGGCAGCAGCTGCAACTGGTGACAGTATAAAGCCACAACAGCAAACCTTATGTATAGGTTTCTAATAATAGTAACCTTAGACTACATGGCAGCCTCATATGAAGTGTTATGAAACCTCCGGAGGGGGCCTGTAGGAAGTACAACCCGCCATTAAAGTATACCATTCGTAATTCATTAGCCAGGTCCTGCTGCTTGTAGTCTCATTATATGTCGACACAGCAGGGGGCCCGGCGAATGAAACTGTGGGTCAATATCTATAAAAGCTAATGAGCTAAATATACCGGAGGACGAAGACTGTCAATAAGTGAGCAAATAATAAAGAAGTAATGAACAGACTGCTCCATAAACAGAGCAGCTGCCGATATTTTTCATTTTTAAGAAAGTGCTCAGGAAAAACAGGACGGAAAAAAAAAAAGTGCTAATCCCTTGTGGAAGTTAGCAGAGCAGGAAGTGGTAACGACCCTCACAGCTGGTAATTATGACACTAGTGGTTGTACAGTGAGGGTGTGAGGGCCTGTTGCACAATGATAACCATACGATGTTGCGCAAGGCTACTGGCTCTCCCGCAGATGGAGGGATGCATATTTACTATGGAAATCAGGGCTGGAAAATGCAATTATGCTATACATGAGGCAGGGAGTGAACGCAGAAGAAGCAGAGGGACATGAGTAGGCAGAGAGATAGAAATTAAGACGGGGCGATGAGATGCCTGCCCGGGTGAGCTTCTCAGATTCTGTGTGCCACCAATGGACAGTGGTGATGAGGCGTCTCCTTTTTCATTTTAAACATCTTTAGAATAAAGAAGAGTGTGTTAATATGAAGAAAAGAGGTGGAATAGAGAGAGGCTGAGGGACGTAAATATAATATAATGTTTTCTTCCTCTGTTGGCTTTCTTCTCGAAAATAAAGTCTCAGCTTTCTGAGTTTATCTCAACTGTGTTTGGCTCGGTGACGACACCTGCCGCCTTCTCCACCTCGCACCGGTTTCTCTCCCATTCATTCCGCCTCTGTGTAAATCTGTTCCCGGGAGACACGGCTAAGCATAGCCATCACTCTGCTTCGACTTCTCTGACGTGCAGGACTGCCGCCTCTAAAGTGAGCATTAGCATCCTTTCGAAGTGGAGACGGCGAACAGACGACAAGGCACACACGAGCAGCCAAAACACGAGATAACACAGAGGAGTGACAGAGAGCAAGGTGCACCGAAAATCACATGTCATCACATAAAACGTTGGAGGGGGCAAAACCTCTGACTTGTGCATCGGTAACGGTGGAAGTTTCCTGACGAGGCAACGTCTGCCAGGGAATAATTTATGCTGAGGCTAAGAGCACAAAGATAAAGATAGTATTCCCCTTAAGGGACAGCTGAATGGGCCAAACTGACAGCAGTGTGTGTGTGTGTGTGTGTGTGTGTGTGTCAAACAGCAAGAGTCCATCCTCCTCCTCTTGGTAGCTGCATGTTGCCTACTGTACATGCTGCTCTCAGCTTTAGTCAATTGTCCTTGATGGATTAATTAGCCACACCACATGGTCAATACCTCACGGCGCAATACTAATTAGTAATAACAATTTAAAAAAAACATGGTTTAAAGGCCATTCAGGCGACTGCACTGCAGATACAAAAAAATCGGATAAAATATTTTAATTTTGCTCGGTTTACGGTGGTGGCCATCTTTCACTAACATTGGTTGACTCACGTGCGATAAATCCTTTATCGTTAGAATATTAGAAGGCTGCGCCCATTAACCAAGCTTAGTGATTCACTACCAGTGTCACTATACCGGTTTGCCATCAAATTTGTAAGTCATTCAGAAGACCCCAAACCCCCCTCTCCGTTGCTCTCTCTCTCTCTCTCTCTCTCTCTCTCTCTCTCTCTCTCTCTCTCTCTCTCTCTCTCTCTCTCTCTCTCTCTCTCTCTCTCTCTCTCTCTCTCTCTCTCTCTCTCTCTCTCTCTGTCTCTCTCTCTCTCTCTCTCTCTCTCTCTCTCTCTCTGTCTCTCTCTGTCTCTCT